GTTGTTGTCCTGATTTTAATCCCATAAACAGCTGTGCTGCAAGTCCACACATACATTGCAGCTATACAGCAATAATACAGGAAGCTAGGCACCCTCAATAACAATTTTTTCCCCCTCCTCCCCCTTAGCTTTTGGCCAGTTTAATTCTCTTCAACAGCTCCTTTTGTTATCAGAGCAAAGTCAGTGCTGATGCAAGAGTGAAGTGGAAATACACAGTCCTGAGCAGGGAGGAACTGCAGCAGGGCCAGCTTAGTTCTGCTTCATGTATTGTAAAACCACAGTGCATGTGGCTGGTGTTTGGGAGGTAGGTATGTGATGAGAATTCTGAATTAACTTTGAATTTGGGATATATTGGTCAATCTAATTCAAATGAAACTTTGGATTGCATGGAAGAAGCTAAAGGCACAACATTACAAATGAGGGGTCTGGGATGAGCTTCCCATATTTGAGGAAAGAAAGAAAAAAACCTCTCATCTGCTATCATTTTCTCATGGAATCTTTGAGTAACTTAGTGGTTTATAATGAATAGAAAGTACTGTAGAGTGCTTCCTATCCTGCTACACTTCGGTAGTGAAAAAGTCCTTTATTTGGCGAGTTTATTTGTGCTGCATCAGTAAGTGGAAAATCTACTTCAATTAACTTGTTACTTCTAACTTTGTTAGCTCTAGATTTGTATAGTTTATTCACTGTTTTTAATTAAAGCAGCAAGAAGTTGGAGTAATTGTGCACTTGATTAAGTGTAGTGCTGCTTTGTTTACTTCTTCCTCCTGGTTATCTCCTGATCTACATCAGTTTATTAGTGATAAGTAATATCAAATAAGGAGGGAGGGGAAGTCAAAAGAAGTCGTCAGCATGTGTCAAGAAGTTTCATCAGCAGAGTTGTAATGCTTCAGCATAGTGATCTCGAAGTATTTCTAAAGGTTCTTTGCATATTTGTAAATGGGATTTGTAGCTGCTACTTAGTGAGTGTTGAAATAAGTATTTCAGAGTAGTTGATTAGATGGGATAAAGTTGTGTCTGAACATTAACCCCTGCTGCTGTGACTTTCCATTGTTTTCCATGCAGTTTGGCAATACAGGTTTTCTTTGCCTCATTTAAACTTTGCTATGGAGGAAGCTGATCTTAGGGGAGTTTTTTTTTTGGGAAAACTTTATATCTACGTATAGCAAAGCTAATACTATAAAGGGTCGATGATACTTGGCCTACAGGAGTTGTCTAATACATTCAGTTTTAAAACAGTTTATTTGTGGTATTACAGAATGCATTTCAGGAAATTAAGATCTTCTGTAGTATTTTCTGTTGATCTTTTGTTTTTAAAAAGAATCACCTTACTGCTTACTCAAAATACCTGCTCACCTGCCTGGTTTGATTAATTCCTTCTCCCCATCATCTAAATCATATGAAAAGAGGAGAAGGGAAGGACAGGAAAAAAAGTCACCATCTTTCCTGCTTCCACTTCACACATGCCCATAGCCTGGGAGACTTATCATTTCAAAAGTCTTGCCAGGCAGTGGTTTGAACTCTTCATTCTTCTGTAGCTAGCAATGCAGTTCAACAGCTTGGCCTTTGAGCAGCTTCTGCTCTATAGACCACCAGGTCCTCATGATGCCATATCCCTAACAGCACTTGTTGCTGTTGGCACTCCTTTGGAGTAGAGGAACAGTCTTCTTCTCACCCTCATCATCCTTGCCCTGCATTTTTCCCCAGAGGGTCTTTTCTGCCCCTGCTCTCTTTTTCCCTGACCTGCTGCCTTTCTCTTGACACCTTTTGCACAAACAAGGGCTTAAAACTATGTCTGCATTGAGAAACCAAGGTCTAGTTCCCTGTGTTGCACTGTTGACCTCAGTGGCTTCATTTAGCTCAGTTTCTTCAGTGTTAATTTGGTGTTGGGACTGACTGACCAAGGTGGGAATGGGCAGCCAGACTTGAACTCTCAAGCTTTTCTGTTTTTACAACCATTTAAATAACAATTTTAATAACCTGGTACAAGATAGTCATCAGTTTGCATTCAGACATATTTAAATGGCCTCTTCCTTAGAGCTACATAGACTAGGGTGTGTTCTGGACACCTTTGTTTATGTAGTGTTTCTTCTTTACAAGCTAACTTGCTGTATGTGATAACAGCCTAATGCTCAGTGGTGCTTTCCACCATCTGCATTGGTGCAACTGAAAATTACAGGTGGTGTAAGCTCTTTTGAAAATGATTGTCATGATAGTTTAAAGCTGCAGTTATCAATGGCTCCAGGGTTGTTCAACACCATTTTATGGGTCTTGCTAAAAATTGCTGGAGTCTGACAAAACTATTGCTTTATCTCATGTTTACTTCAGCTTTTAAGTGGAACTGTAGCCACTCATCAAGCTTGTAAGTTTGGATGTGGGGAGGTGGATGAAAGGAGGATTTGTAAAAGAGAGTGATTTTCTTGAACTACTCCATGCTGTGAAGTTTTGAAATACAAGGTATTGTGCTTGTATTTAATTAAATTTAGCCTTGCTGTCAGATGCTGAGAAATGTTGAGTGATAGACAAAGATGTGCTAACTCCTGGTATGATGGTATCCTTGGTGTTCTGATGTGGCTGATGTCAGTGATCTTGGTCTTTGGCACCTCCTTCACCCCAGAGGCTCTCAAGCATTTGTCCACCATGAAATGCAACAGTGAGGAGGGGAAACCATCGAAGGCAGGAACTTTAATGAGAGGTAGAGCAGTGCCATGGATAGACTGGGAGGGGAAGGGGGGGGAGGTCACCAGGATCCAGTGTTAAAACCTCAAATTCTTAGATCTCTAATTGTTTTAGCACACATTAACAAAACCCACTAGAAAAGTATGTCATCCTCTTCTGATAGCAAGGAGCGACACGCTGCTGGTACGAGCAAGGCTGTTAATTAGTGCATGTGATTGAGTGTGCTCTGGGGAGCACTCATGTTTCTGTACTGAATGAGATTTCTGTCTCTACTATACCTGCTTCATTTCCTGAAAAATTGGAACATATTTATTAATTCAGGGAGCTGCGAGAAGAGAAAGCATCAAATGCCTGAGGAAGGTAAATGTCTCCTGACACAAACTGGAGCATTTCTGTGTGGCGTTGGTCTTTGTGAGTTACATATAATTGTATATAGAGATTTCGGAAGAGATGCTCTCTATATGACACTTTACCTTATTGCGCTAGTTGCACAATTATTGCTGGGAGAAGTTCCTCCTTCAGCTTTCTGGTAGTTATAATGCAGTCTTATCTCCTTTAATTAGCTCAGTTTGAAGAAGAAAGTGTTACACTTGGTGATTCCAGTACCCCAGGTACTCAAGTGCCTTCATTCTTTAAGGAGCTCCACCTAGCTCTATTTATAATCTCATCCTTTTACCCACAATTCATTTTTTAAAGGGGAATTTCTTTCCACTGCAGAAATTGGTTTTGAGCAGTGGCGGCAGTGGGAAGGGGAAGGAGGAGTATGAATTAGTCAGAGTTGTTGCATTAAAGTAAGCGTGTAGTGTCTAAAAGCTTTATTTTAATTAAGGTGCAGAATTAGCTGAAAGTTTTGGGGGGTTCTATTGGGTTTTTTTAACACAACATTTTCCACTAAATTCAGTAAAGAGATGAGTCTAATTTATGAAGTTGTTCATTGTTTATTCTCTATATAATGACAACACTTTTCTGATGTATTCACTTCATCCAGAGATAGGAAAAAAAAAATAGCCTTAAAACACCTGGGTGTGCCGATTTGACCAACACAGCTGTTTCTTTATTGTTTTTTGGGATAGTTATAATGCTGTCATGCATTTTGCTGAATAATATTATGCATAATGAATAATATGAAGCACAATATTGCTTGTAATGTGTTTGTGAATGTGATTTGAGCCAGCATTGTTTGATTTCTTTATTCATATAAGTAATTTCGTAGGTTGCTGCTTGTGCCTTTTTGTATGTATTTGGATGTGGCAGCTTTAGATGGTGAAATCTTTGCCCTAAAATCTCATAGATAGATGTATGGCAATGCAAAAGCATTACCCTTATTTGTGATATATGCAATTTATATTGGAAGGCCTATGTAACTTGAAAAGATTGAACTAATTTGTATATTAATACAGTATGTGCTTATGTAGAGTTTATATAAAGTGTTTTTCCTCTTAAACTGACTAAACGCCAGATGCATTTCACCTGGGACAGAGGAGAGCTAGCTCATGGTAGAGGGAGGGTTATAGCACATGTCTTTATTATGGAGCCAGGAGTTTCTCCATGGAGAGGAATTTTTGCCACTTCTCTCTCATGATCCCTAATTGGGTATGGTAAAAAGAAATAAGGAGTTCAATAATATTTTGTGTAAAGTGATCAGGAATGATGCGAGAGTGAGAGAAACGAAGTTAAATGACAGTGCTAAACACCTGTGTGAAGTGTCTAGGTCAGGTATAATATTTTCAGATTGAAAAGAATAGGATGAGGTTTGGATTAAAAAGATGTCATTTTGCAGACTTAAAGAATTGAAGATCTTTTTGAAACCTTAATTCTTTTCTTGGATGCTGAATTGTGTGAGAAGTTGAGAATTTCAGTAAACCTGGAACTGATGCATAGTCAAGGTTATCAGCAAATGTTTTCTTTATGGTTTGTATGAGACAAAACATGGTGGTGATTGTCACTTTCTGAAGCTTCATTGTTGAAGAACCTTGAGCCTGCAGTAGGATGGGTTGATTTTGAAACCCGTAGCGATACGTCCATAAAAGGTGGCAGGACACAACCTGTATGCTGGGTTAGAGATTTTGCTAAACTATTGAGTGGGAAGTTAGGTTGTCATCTGCCATTCTAGGAGCCTTGGGAATCTGTGGTGGTTTATTTTATAGCCTACTCAGTGGAGTTTGTGAACGGGCATGGGTTATCTTTATCTGAAGTTTGGAAAGTATTTGGATTGAACGTCCAACACAAAACTTAATTGAAATGGAAATTACCTGTTAAAAAATTACCTGTGGAATACTTCTCAGTATATAATATGTTTGTCTGTCTTTTTGTCTCAACAGGAATGCCCAAGGAAAAGTACGATCCACCTGATCCACGGAGGATGTACACAATTATGTCCTCAGAGGAAGCAGCCAACGGAAAGAAATCACACTGGGCAGAGTTGGAAATAAGTGGTAAGAAACTGAGAAATGGTCCCGAGTTATGAGCTCATTGTAAGTTAAGAGTAGCCTACATAGTAATGGCTTGGATGAGAAGTCTGGGGTGGAGTTACTTAGCTTGAAGTGAGCCAACATGCCAGTGGAGTAGCTGCCAGCCTCTGGATGTGCTGAGGGAAGAGGTTGGGTTGGGGTAAAGTAGGGGGCTATAGGAGAGGTAGATTGTGAGTGGGGGGAATCCTAACATGTCAGATGGCTGTGAAGATGAGATGAATGTGAGCTCTTTGTGTTTTAAGAAGATGGAGCAGGTGGGAGCATGGATTTAAGATCTAATTTGTCAAAGAGAAGAGGGTGAAGCTGGGGTTGATGCACAGATATATCCCGTTACTTTAAATAATGTAACAACAGTGTTGTATTAGTCCATGACAATGTAGTTTCTATTCAAGCGGAACTTTTCAGTTTAAAAGCAGTTGTAAATCTTTGCTCTGTTCTTAAGATGTAAATTAGAAAAAATCAAAGGAACTCCTAGAACTGTACTAGCTTTCAGATAATGTTTGACTTTTGGATCTTTCCTTGAAAATAAGATAATGCTCAAAATTCATAAACATGAAATCTTGACTGGTGTGGGACACCAGTCTGTATTGATTTGTAGAATAAATTCTGGTTTTGCTGTGTAAAATGTGTTTACAAGGAAATTCAAACAGATATTTTAAAATTAAAACTTAAAAATTTTGTGATGTAAAAGTAGGCTTAAATTTTGCTTAAATACGGATGTTATTGGAGAGTCTGCAAAAATTGCCATGTGATGTTTTTGAGCGACTGTGCAATAGGGAAATTTATGGAAAGAGGAATACAAATAGAGGTCTTTGAATTGTGAAGAGTATTTCCATCCAGATCATTGAATCCCTTTCTTTCTTCAAGTGCCACGTGCCTTAACACGTGAATAGCATTCTTTACTTGAAGGTTACAGATGCAGAAACCTAGTTAAATGCTGCTTCAGGAATCGGCATTATGTATCAGCATTAGGTTTGGATATCCACTTGGACGTCTGCTGCCTCTGCACAGGAAATGCATTAAGCAATGGCTCTTTCCTTTCATGCCTCGTAATCTTGCTAGACCGATTCCAGCCAAGAGAGATGTAGGTAGTCCAGGGAATGGATCAGTGATGTTGATGGAAATCCTTTCAGCTACAAGGGTTTCTTTGATCACGGTCACCTTTTTGCACTGGGGGAGGGAAGAAGAGGTGTTTATTCAGTTTTAAAATGCAGAGAACTATTAAGTCATATTTAAAACCTTTCAAAAGTTTTCTTAATGAGCATTGGCATAGCATGAATTCTTTAAGAACTGTATGCATTTGCCTTGCAAAATAAAATGCGACAGTGTGTTTGTTAATGTTCACACTGACTTTTCCTTGCAAAATGCTTGGTCATCTAATACAGAAAGCCACAAATGTTGTAACTGCTCTTGTTTAAATCACTGAGCTTTATGCCACTCACTTTCTTATAGCACACTGGAAATGATACCTGCATTAAACCTTTTGTTATCAGGGGTTGAGTCCCAGATACATGTGTATCAGTGTAGCTTTTCCCCAGGCACTAAATATGATGTTTATTTTGAAGAAAATAGTTTAAGGAAAGGAATTGTAAAGTGTGTATGTTGGGATAATATTAACCAGACTGTTCTTAATATTGGTGAATCATGGTAGGGTTTTAAAGGCTGTCACAAGTAGCTTTTTGCCTTGGAGAAACTTGTATTGGTACTCTTCTTCTAATGCTTTTGGTACAATGAGATGACTTCTGTAAATGAAAAAGGATCTGCTCCTTTGGTGTTGGGGGTGAATCTTGGAGAGGAGAAATGTTTTGAGACCTTCTGATGATATATCACATTCCTTGCGTGCAGCAGCATAAAAATCTTGATTCTGTCACGCAAACCCATGTTTCTACCCTTCAGTTTATACAAAAATCATACCGGTTTTTAAAATATCTGGCAATAGTTTTATGCAGCTTTTAGTTGAATGCCAGATGGATATCCATGTTCTCAAGTAAGCATCTTAGTCACCCTAAATATAGTGCTTCTATCTGTTCTTGGCTGGATTAATGCCATAGAATAAAGATTTTTGTTTTGAAAGACATTGCGCAGAAATAAGGGGCAAACCAAAGCATCATCTTTGATCTTAAACATAAACTAGAATTGAGAAAAACCCTGTTTCTTGCATCTCTGTTAATTACTGAATTCATGGATGGTAGTAAATATGTCTTGTTTTGTATGGAACTTGAGAACGACAGATGTTTAAACCTTTAAGTATGGATTGGGGAAAAGAAAATCAATCTAAGCATCCCTGTCAAAACCCTGTATGTTACACAGTGCTGGTTTTTTTGATCTATAGAATTGACGATTAATGGAATTTTCATTGAATAAAAATAACCACAGAACAACTCCCCCTCAAGTGGTTCCACCCCTTACATCCTCACAAAATGTGTAGCTATTGCTAAACCTCTATATTGAAAATGTTCTATTTTGTTTTGTTATCTTCCTTCTGCAGGGAAAGTGAGAAGCCTGAGTTCATCGTTGTGGACACTGACCCATTTGACAGCTTTGCATCTCAGTGACAATTCCTTATCCCGTATTCCTTCAGACATTGCCAAGCTTCACAATCTGGTATATCTGGACCTGTCCTCTAATAAAATTCGCAGTTTACCAGCAGAGCTCGGAAACATGGTGTCACTCAGGTATGTAACAGAAGTTAAAATTTATCTCTTACTAGCTTTGTAGCAATGGTTTAAATTCAGTATAATTTTTACATTCTAGTAAATGAAAAGCATAAGTATATTCCCCGTTCCTCACTTCCTTTTATCTGTCTCCCTGAATATTTCGTATGGTCTGTGCAGCTATATTAGTGCTGGCTTCTCTGTGATCTCTTGTTGTATGACAGTACGGAATGAGCTTCAGAAGCATTCAGTTTGATGGCAATCACCCATTTTATATTTTTCCAAGTCAGGTTTTCTCTCTTGAGCTTCTCTTTCAAGATTCACACACATTTTTATGTGGCATTTTCTCTACAGAGAGAGATGCACAAAACAAAATTGCTTTTAATTGATAGTAGGGTAGGAAAAAGGTTAGATTAAGCATTCATAATCATGCTAACTACAGCTTTTCCATCTTTATTCATCTTTAGTAGTTATTCTTAACAATAGTTCATATTCTTTTTATTTTACAACAACTGCAACTTGTCTGATATCTTCTCATTTCTACTATTGTGCAGCTGCATTCCTGTGCAGACTAGGGAGAAGAAAAAAAATGTTCTAAATGCACCTTTTTTCCTTCCAAGTTTACAGTGCTAAGATGTGCAAAGTTTGCATGGAATGGTGCCTCCTTTTGGAAGCGAAACATGAGTAGTGGTGCTTATTTAAATTACAGTTAAAGCTGCGGCATTTCACTTTGAAAAAGTTACGTAAATATATAAATCATTTATCTAAGAGTAAATATTTACAGGCAACAATCTTCTGCCCTTGACCAAAAGGAAGAGCCTTATTTTAGGTTTATTAGACAGCTACCAGTAATAGTCCTCATTGCTTTCAATTTTGAGGACATTTATGGGCATCTTTCTCAAATCCAGAAAACAGTCTAAAAGTAACAAGAACATCATTAGAAGTAAAGAAGGAGACAATAGAGAAATGGGCTGCCAGCGCAGCTCTGGTGAAATTGGAAGCAAAGCAAGTTTGCACATAGAAATACCTGTCACTGCATTTTCTTCTACTTCAGAAAAGCCCACTCTGTTAGGGGGGGATTAAACCAGCTGATTAAAGCGGCACTAAAAGCTCAAATTCCAAAGCAGTTGAAGTCTCAACCTTGGAGGCTGAGCAAAAGGACCTTGCCTTTTAGAGCATTATTGGCAGCTCTGTTTTGCAGTGTGTTGTGTAGCTATTTTCAGCTGCGAAGTAGTGTGTTCTAAAGACAGCTTTGCATTACTATTTCAATTAAAAGCAGTTACTAGTAACAGGTTTGTTCCTTCCTTTATCCACTCACATTGTGAGCTATCAGTCCTAATTTTACTGGAATGTTCTCAATTTTATCTTTGTACTTCATTAGCATTGTTTTATTTTCATCAGTCTCTTTCATTTTAAAACGTTTTAAATGTAATACGACATGGAGTTAGCTTAGCAGTGCATAGTCACCAGTAGTGTCAAAAGATGTTGTGCCCTTTTCCCAACACTTTTCTCAGTTTATTCTGGCTGACTCAATGAAGTTGCAGCTCTTCAACATCCTAATTCTCTTCTGTGTAGAAACGGCTAAATCTTGTGAATGTGAAATGTGTAGCTAAGGTCTAGGATCAAGCTAGTTTTCTGTTTATGACCTAAACATAATACTTGAGCCCAGTTTCTAGATGTGAAAAACTAGTGCACTAATGCACTGTGCTCTGTCTGTTCTCAGTAATTGCAGCTGATCCATGATTTCTTTTCACTGGGTGAAAGTGAATTAATATCTATAAGTGCATCCTATGTGATAGTGCTCTGCAGGTCTCAGCTGTGCTGGAGTTTTATGTTTCAGGCTGGCTCTTACTGCAGACATTTCCCATAGCTTCTGGGAAGTTGTTCAAACTAATGGTAATTCAACACTGCGCATTGCTAATATCCTGAGCCACAGAAATCATTTGTGCTCTTACACTTGAGAATTGATAACAGGTCTTCCAGCTCCCACGTCTGGAGCTCTGGGTTTGGTCTTGCCTAAGGCTCCTTGCATCTCCCTTTTTACTGTAGGTACTTGAATAAAGAGGTGTCAGAGCAGTAAGGTTTGTCATCTTTGCAGAAGGGGGGGGGGGGGGTGGGATGTAATGTTTTATCTTTGGAAAGCGCAGCTGTAAAACAGATTCTCTTGATATGCTTGAAAGAACTTGAAGTGCACCCTCGGTAAAATTTGCAGACACCACCAGTTTGGGTGGGAGTGTTGACTTGCTTGAGGGCAGAAAGGCTCTGCAGGGGGATCTGGACAGGCTGGATTGATGGACCGAGGCCAATTGTATGAGCTTCAACAGGGCTTAGTGTCAGATCCTGCATGTGGGTCAAAACAACCCCATGTAATGCTACAGGCTTGGGGGAAGAGTGGCTGGAAAGCTGCCCAGCAGAAAAGGACCTAGGGGTGTTGGCTGACAGCAGGCTGAACATGAGCCAACTTGTGCCCAGGTGGGCAAGGCCAACAGCATCCTGGCTTGTATCAGCAATAATGTGGCCAACAGGATCAGGGAAGTGATCATCCCTCTGTAGTAGGCACTGGTATGGCTCTACCTTGAATCCTGTGCTCAGTTTTGGGCCCTCTCTCTCAAAGAGAGAGATTGAGGCACTGGAGCGGGTCCAGAGAAGAGTAATGGAGCTGGTGAGGAATCTGGAGAGCAAGTCTGGTGAGGAATGGCTGAGGGAACTGGGGTTGTATAGGCTGGTGAAAAGGATGCTGAGGGGAGACCTTATTGCTCTCTACAGCTACCTAAAAGGAGGATGGAGAGAGGAGGTGGCTGGTCTCTTTTCCCAAGTAACAAGTGAGAGAACAAGAGGAAACTGCCTCTGGTTGTGCAAGGAGAGGTTTAGATTGGATGTTAGGAAAAATGTCTTCACTGAAAGGGTCATCAAGCATTGAAACAGGCTGCCCAGGGAAGTGGTAGAGTCACTATCCTGAGGGTATTAAAAGACATGTAGATACGGCATTTGGGAACATGGTTTTGTGGTGGACTTGGCAGTACTGGGTTCATGGTTGGGTTCTGTGATCTTAAAGGTATTTTCCAACCTAAACTATGCTATGGTTCTATGAACCAGTGGGAGTTGCTGTGATCCCCTTTGCCAGGTAGAGAGGGCGGGTTCCATAGAGGCAAGGATTATTAGAGCAAGTACTTCTTTCATCCAAGAGAAAAAGCATGATGATACCAACTGCTGTGCTGTTCTTCAGCTCAGTGTTTTTCCTCTAGACTTCTTAGACTTCAGCAGTGCTTTGAAAAACTTAGGGGGGGGAAAGTAGCTTCCTAAAGAATAAAATAGTAGCTTTATGATTTCATGTAGAATATTGTTCCTAAAAGTAAGAGTGATTTAAATCTCAAATGTCCGTGGAAGTGCCGAGAACTAGTGGAGATGATGATTTTCATTTATTTGTTTAACTGCCCCATCCTCTTTTCTACCTGCCACATGTCTCATTCATACTGAGCAACCCTAGAATGACACAGTGAGCTTCTGAGTTTCTCTGTAATGTACATCCGTTTGTCTAGATTGGAAAAAGCAAAACTCGGAGCTGGCTAGGTGTACTACAGTTTGCAAACAGTTGAGAAGTAGCTTGGAGTTTCTGTATAACCCAGTGAAATAAAAAGTATCCTGTATCTCTTTGACTAATACACACCCCCGAGTGTCCCTAAAACAAGCCAGTGTATTTTATACAGAGGTTTCTAAATACGCTGTGAAACAGAAAGAGTTTCTTGAGAAGCCCTTGTTAGGGAAGGACCAGGCAGAGTTTACTTTTGAAAGGCAAGGCCAGAAGAAGAGTTGTGTCTATCTACTTCAAATGCTGTCTCGTAGGAATCTGAAAGAGCAAAGGTAACTCTTGACATCCAGGTTTCCTTTCTTTTCTCTTTCCCTTTTTTGTTGCCTGAAAATACTTTTTAAGTCTCTAGGCATAAAGTTGTAAACAATCTGAAGGAGCAACTTCATACGGAATATGGTAAGGAAAGTCTGCACTGCCTAGATGGGAATACTTTTAAGAAAGGGAAAAGCTCCAACCAAGTCACTTTTCTCTGCCCAGTTTGTTGGGCTATCAGAGTCTGCATATTGGTTTTGTAACATAAAAAGCAGGTGTTTTTGTCTGAACACTGTAATTACAGGAAAAACCCAAGCCAACAGAAAACGGCTGTTGTAAATGACTTGTTACATGGTAATGCCATAGTTCTAATTGTACTGCCATGATCCTGGATTTTTTGCTTGTTTGTTTCCTGAGATATAATTTCCCTTTATTTGGCCTTTAATCATAGCTGAACTATTTCATGATCTGCTTTGTCAGAGTTGTTAGTGCTTCATCACTTGGAGTTATTAAAGTATTTAATTATTGCTAATGTTTACAAAATCTGATTCTTTAAGATGAACTCAACAAACATGCTTTTCTCTGTACTTCAGCTTAATGTGTTTTCTCTTATTTTTGTCTGGATATTTGAGTATAGTAATATTTTCCTAATGCTGTTCAGGCTTTGAGTTTTCCAATACTGTGATTTGCTGGTATGTTGTTCCTGTTTTAGTTAAACTTCTTGTGCTCTACTGCTGAAGACAAACGTTGATTTGTTTTCAGCCCTGTATGATTTTTGCTCTGTCTACAGGGAACTACATTTAAATAACAACCTGTTACGAGTTTTACCTTTTGAGCTGGGGAAACTGTTCCAGTTACAGACTTTGGGTCTGAAAGGTATTCCTGCTTTTTCTTGGTATCCGTGCTTCTTTAATGATAACGCTTCTGAGATGGCTGTAGTCTGCTAATTCATAAGATTTTAGTGAATAGCAATCCCAGATGTAGCTATTCCACATGTATAAATATTGTTATTTAGGGATTATTTAAAGCAAAGAAAAAGAATGAGTTTGGTGAAACATTCCATAAATAAAGAAGTTTGCTTCTCTTTCTGCAGAGTGAGCAGAATGTGAATTGTCCATGAAAACTTTTACAATCTGCTTATGTGTTTGGGTGGTAGGACTGCTCATATATGACTGGCAAATAAGCTGATGGATGTTTCGCTCATGTCAGGCAAAGTGAGCAGAGGTGGCTCCTGTGTTTGGCCTCATCTGTCTTGTAGCATGCCAGTTCTTCACTATTGTTAGACCCAGTGACCACCCTTGAGGTGGTTAATCCGAAGGCAGATGTAGGACGGAATGAGGCTAAATCACTTCCAGGGTTTTGTGGGATTGAAGACCTGAGATCTGAAACCTCTGAGTATTTCATAGTAGATGCATTATCTGTTCTCAGAAATGCCACCATTCAGCACTGATATGCAAGTTTATATTGGCTCTATCTGTTTGCTTCAATATATCTGTACATCTGTTTGCAGGAAATCCGCTTACGCAGGATATTCTGAACCTGTATCAGGAACCAGATGGGACGCGCAGGCTACTGAACTATTTGCTTGATAATTTGGCAGGTACTGCAAAAAGAAGTAAGTGCTCATTCTTAAAACATTTCTTTCTGCTCCGTACAGTAAATGTGATTATCACTTGTTGCATCTTTACTTTAAAATGTTCCCATAGTTTCAACTGAACAACCACCTCCAAGATCTTGGATTATGTTGCAAGAACCAGACCGTACAAGACCAACAGGTACTGTAATGCTTAAAGGACTTTTCCTTCTTGTTTTTTCCTTTTGTGTTGATCTTTACTATCTTCTGAGAAATAAATGCTAAAATTGACCAATCATCTGTGCAGTGCTGACTAGCCAGGTGAAGTAGATTTCTCAATTGGAAAACCTGTTACAGATTTCCCCATTTCTTACTCTAGAGCAGTTTCTTTTGAATTAACACTCTCCTTGGCGAAATTGAAACTGTTAACCACAACTAATGAAATAGTTGAATTGTAACAGGCTTAACTGAATGTATTGCTGAAGAATAAAATAAATAATTCCCCCAAAATGAAGAATTCTTTTAAGTAACAAATGTATCATCTTTGACACGGCACTTCTCTTGTTGTGGGATTTGGGCCATGTATTATTATTTACTAATTTTTTTCTGCATAAATGGTCTAAAATACAGCCTCTTCTGTTTGCCTGCACACCAAAAATTTAGTGTATTTCTCAGTTATTGCAGTCTTGCAGACTGATGCACATTCCCCCAACGAAACCCGAAGTCCATGCTGTTGGATTACCTGTCAGGTTGTCCCAAAGTGTCTCATTATCAGTCCTGTTCCAAATTCAAACAGAGAGTAGATGTTTCTTGTCTTTACACCTGAAGTGTAGGGTTTTTGAGGTGCAAACGCTTGGGGGTTTATTTTGCCTATACTTTTTCACTGTGCAAAGGGATCCATTTGCCTGTGGATCTGTTACAGCCAGCCGTATCCTGGGCTGCATCAAAAGGAGTGTGGCCAGCAGGTTGAAGGAGGTGATCCTGCCCCTTTATTCTGCCCTCGTGAGACCTCACTTGGAGTATTGTGTGCAATTCTGGTGTCCTCAACATAAAAAGGACATGGATCTGTTGGAACAAGTCCAGAGGAGGGCCATGAGAATGATAAGGGGACTGGAGCACCACCCATATGAAGATCGGCTGAGAAAGTTGGGGCTGTTCAGCCTGGAGAAGAGAAGGCTGCGTGGAGACCTCATAGCAGCCTTCCAGTATCTGAAGGGGGCCTATAGGGATGCTGGGGATGGACTCTTCATTAGGGACTGTAGTGGTAGGACAAGGGGTAATGGGTTAAAACTTAAACAGGGGAAGTTTAGCTTGGATATAAGGAGGAAATTCTTTCCTGTTAGGGTGGTGAGGCACTGGAATGGGTTGCCCAGGGAGGTTGTGAATGCTCCATCCCTGGCAGTGTTCAAGGCCAGGTTAGACGAGGCCTTGGGTGATATGGTTTAGTGTGAGGTGTCCCTGCCCATGGCAGGGGGGTTGGAACTGGATGATCTTAAGGTCCTTTCCAACCCTAACTCTTCTATGATTCTATGATTCTAAGGTGGTAATAATTAAAGTAGATTTAAAATAATCTATTTGAAGAGTTTGCAAACCTTTGTATAGCTAGCAAATGTTAAGTGCTCAAATACACTTGCTTTGGTTTAGGCTTTTCGCAGTAGCACTGCACTTAGCATGAAGTGCATTTGTATGCTATTTACTGCATTAAAGGGGATTCTGATTTTTGTTTTCTGGTTAAATGCTAGAAGACAGCTGTCATATGTGCAGACCTGTAATTTATCTTCCTAGAAAGGCTTACCAGTTTGTAATACAGAACCATGTGCTCTGTTGCTACTAAAGCAAGAATTGATAGATTTGCAGAAGACAGAAGTGAAGAGCATAATTTTGTGTGTGTGTACCTATATTTGTTTAATATATCAGTGTGTAAGTAAAGTTCTTGTTCTGCAGCCTTGTTCTCTGTCATGTGTTACAACGTACTCTGTGATAAATATGCTACCCGGCAGCTGTATGGCTATTGTCCATCTTGGGCCTTGAACTGGGAATACAGAAAAAAAGCCATTATGCAGGAAATCCTGAGCTGCAATGCTGACATCATAAGTCTTCAGGTAAAAGATGTACCATGATTTCTTTCCCTTTTCTGTTCCCCTGTGCTGGTTTCTCCACACTAAATGTATTTACAGTCAATGGTGTGTTTTCAAAACCTTCTGAAAGCAAAAGCAAAAAAAGAAGTGGTGTTTAGAACATTATTTATTGCTTGACATCAAAAGAATGCTTTTCAGCCCACACTGTTGGAATGCGAACCAGCAGCTGCTGATCAAAGAAGGGTACTGGGGGTGTCTGTGTTCCTCTGTGTGTGTATGGGGCTGTAATTGACGTATTTTCAAAGAAAAAGCTTGAGATAATCATAACTCTGGGGATTACAGAAATTCATTTATATTTTCTTAAAATAAAAATATTGCTCTGAAATTTACATTCTCTGATGTACCTAATTCTTATTTTTTTTCCCATTAAATCTAATTTGAAAGTGATTTACACTTCTGAAGATTCTAAATAGTATCAGCCTTCTGTATTTTGCCAATAGTACATTCATACTGTGCTGTCTGATAATTTTGTAGGAGGTTGAAACAGAGCAGTACTACAGTTTTTTCCTGGTAGAATTGAAAGAACGTGGCTACAATGGATTCTTCAGTCCAAAATCTAGAGCTAGGACAATGTCCGAACAGGAAAGGAAACACGTTGATGGTTGTGCAATATTTTTCAAAACAGAAAAGTAAGTGATGCGTTTGCAAACCCTTCTCTTGTGTCTTGCTCTCTTTCACATAATTTCTCTCGTCAGTCTGTAGCTCAAGCATCTTTGAACTAGAAACTACTGCAGAATTAGAAACATGCACTACATTTCAACAGTTATCCCCTCCCATTAATTGAAACTAAGGCAGTAAGAATACATAAAAATTGCTAGGAGAACTATATCCTGTGAGTTCAGTTTAGGGTTTTATGGAATTACATTGTTGACTGAGATTTTCACATCATGGGTGCATTTGAGCTTTAATTAAAAACTTAACCTGCAACATTTCCTTTTGTATCAGGCTGCTGAAAAAACCACATATGATGTTTCTCTTTCAGATTTACTTTGGTTCAAAAACACACTGTTGAGTTCAATCAACTAGCAATGGCAAACTCGGAAGGTTCAGAAGCGATGCTGAACAGAGTTATGACAAAAGATAACATTGGAGTTGCTGTATTGTTAGAACTGCGAAAGGAATTGATAGAAATGTCATGTAAGTCCTATTTAGTTTCTTAATACATTTTCTTTCATTAACAAAATACAGTTACTTTTGTGATAGCAAACTAAAGTAGGTTCTACTGATTAATATAACTTTGCACATCATATGTTCAGACAAATTTCTTTCCAGAGAGGATTTGGGAATAAGTCATACTGCTTAAATGCTAGAGATACTATTTTTTTTTTCCACTTATACCTTTTTGCTTAAAGTGGTGGGTTTTTTTGCCTGCAGTTACAGGTATGAAAGAATCAGTGGGTGTTAGCCATGTATTTCTGGATCATAAATCTGCATCGTTTTAGCTTGTTACTTCACTCTCGTGCTCATACAACCTGTTTGTTCTGCCCTGTCACTCTTAATTTAGGAAATGTAAATTGGCTTTCAGGTATCACAGTGGGTACCGACTCAACCTGTGTGATATTTACCCAAATGATATCTTATTAATTCAGATTCTAACAAACCTTTTAAGAAGCACTTCTAGCAAGAGAGGTAACTTAGAATGTGGATAACTTAAAATTCAGAGCTCATTGCCTGGTAAGGTATGAGCTGTGCCTGTTTGCTATCACAACCTGAAGAAAACCATTGTAGTATTTTACAACATTACTTGCCTGTCATTTATTTTAATTCACAGTATTGCATACATAAGCATTACCTGTAACAAGCTAGTCTATGTGTTAATGACCTTGAATGTGAAACAATTACTGCTAATGCTTTATATCAACTAAAACACATAGTAGATATAAGAGGAATTGTATGACCCTCTTAAATGATATTAACCCTGTTCAGGTTATACTGGTATTTTATTTTTGCCTCCCCTCAGACATCTTGTTTAAAATTCAATAATAGTGTTTTGTGTTGCTGACCATGTAAGGTAAATAACTGGTTTTAAATTTTAGCTGGAAAGCCACACCTTGGGATGGAGAAGCAGCTAGTTCTTGTAGCTAATGCACATATGCATTGGGACCCAGATTATTCTGATGTGAAGCTGGTTCAAACTATGATGTTCCTGTCTGAGGTAAAGAACATTATTGATAAAGCTTCTCGTAGTCTCAAACCTGGTGTTTCGGGAGAGCTTGGAACCATTCCACTTGTACTGTGTGCAGATCTCAATTCCCTACCAGACTCTGGTAAGAGTTCTCTAATTTACTTTTTTAGACTCTTTAAAGTGTGTAATAATTTAAATTTTAAGGTCTTGCTTCTTTAAAGGGGTTTTCAACTTAGAGAATACATTGTTTGATGTAAGCTCTAAAGGTACTAATAAAATAAAAGGAAGAGAGAAAAGATGGAACTGGTTCTTTTGTAAGTGTCCTTATTGCCTGTGCAGTAGTGTAGCTATGTCTGGTCTTTCAGAAGTGTTCTCATTGTTATCTTACAATACAGGAACGGAAAGGAAGACTCTATCTTCCAAAATTAACTGGAAGCATTAGTATGTTGCTGATAATTGTGGGTTTTTTTAATTTCAAGTGTGACAAGATAGGGTCTTCTCTTTAAAGTTGCCACCATAGACTCATTTTCTGCAGCTCAATTATTTTAGGACTTCCAAAGTTTAATACATTTCCTACTATAAAGGAATTCTTCAGAGCACTTTACTAAATGCAACTTTTTTTTGCCTTGGTGGCAACTCTGTAAAGTGCAAGAAATTAACAGTGATGGCCTTCTTGGCTTTCTCAGGTACCCAGCTGAAGTGCTGAACTCAAAAGCCATTCTTCTTTCTTATTGCTTGTTGTCCGATATAATAATCTCCATTCCTGATCTCCCTTCTGGCCACTGCTTTTCAACTCTTAACATCTGTTAGGGTTGATAGGAGCAGTTACTGCTCTGCAGTACTGGAAACTTGATTCTTTTTGATCCCAGGAAGTCAAGTATCACTAGTGGCTATTGCAGTAGCCACTTCATGTGTCTGATTGTGTCTTTAGAGCAACTAATAGCTGCTTTTTCCTTTTAGAACCTTAGCACAGCTATTCTGAAATTAAGAGGCATGATCATTGACAAATCTTGTCAATTTGGCATTGCAGCCTCTGTAATTTTATTTGAAGTAGTGGTACAGAAGTTGGCTTTTTATAATGTTTTAGCTGAAGAATGTTGACAGCCAAGACTTGAGCATAGACAAGAGGAAGCTGACTGCCTAGCACTTGTGGAACTTGATTTCTACTTTTTTTCATCTCCCTCCACAGTCTGTTCCTTACCAACCTTCTTGTTTTTATTAAAGAAAGATGTCTCTGTTCTAGGTGACATTTTCTCATTGTAAAAGAACTACTGCTGACTATTGTATATGCTTTAAGGTTTTGCTTATATAAAGCATATATAACCTTTAGTTGCAGGACTTAAGGTACCTACACACTCTCAGCTGCTGAATGCTTATTAATACTATCTTGTGTGTGTGTGCCTCTCTAATAGGTGTTGTTGAGTACTTGAGCACTGGTGGCGTGGAAACAAACCACAAAGATTTTAAGGAACTGAGATACAATGAAAGTCTTACTAACTTCAGCTGTAATGGAAAAAATGGAACAACAAATGGAAGAATTACACATGGTTTCAAGTTGAAGAGTGCCTATGAGAATGGTCTAATGCCTTATACAAATTACACATTTGACTTCAAGGTAAGTCCTTGGCTGATGTTTTGGGCACATTTTTCTTTTTGGGTTTTAACTAATGTGTTTGCTGTACAAAAATGTTTAGCAAGTAAGTTAGCCTGTTTGGAGAGCTAACACTAAATTCACCAAGTTTATATTTAAAACATAGCAAACTAGAGTGTTCAACACTTCGGTCTCATAGAAATCAGATTTTCCTTGTTAGTAACTTCTAATAGATTTACAAGAGTTGGGGTGCTGTTAACCTTTCTTGTAAACATGGAAGATCTTATATATTAATACTCCAAGCTAAATGAAATAGCTCAACAGGGGCACTGAAGCTGTTAACTTCAAGGAAGTACTGTCTGTTGCTACTGGAAGAATCTTACTGCTCTGTGACTTGGGAGAAACAAGACTGCTCTTTTCTTCTTCACAATCAGATAAATGTGACTTGGAGCTATGTAAGAGGCTGGAAATTGTAACCCACAAAAGCATAGCAGAAGTGATACAGGGTAGACTTGACTTTCGTTTTCCTAATCTATATTGAGCAAATCAAGGGATATAGAAAGTGGAATTGTCCTAAGTTGATACCGTAAAGAAGGAGTGGTAGTGTTTTGCTTACTCATAAGACTGAGCTCACCTTTTGTTTGGAAGAATAACTTGACTCAGTAATATATACTAATAATTTTATTTCTTCTCTTGTTTTAGGGTATTATTGACTACATCTTCTACTCTAAACCTCAGCTAAACATACTTGGCATTCTTGGACCTTTGGATCATCATTGGTTAATAGAGAACAATATAAGTGGTTGTCCACATCCACTCATCCCTTCTGACCACTTCTCACTTTTTGCACAACTGGAGCTTTTGCTGCCTTTCCTGCCTCCTGTAAATGGAATCCATCACCCTGGCAGGAGGTAGTCAAGTACATTTGAGAGGGCAACCTCAATCTAACTTGTACAATTGTAAAATCTGAATATAGAGGAGTGAGGTATGGCCAACAGGGATTTTTTTTTTCTTAATAATGTTAATCTTAAATCTAATTATTTGCTAAAGACATAGTAAAAGCCAGGTGCTATCAACAGACACAATTCTGAGCCCAATATACTTTGTATACTGTTCGACAGTGATCGGTGCATTTGCACCTTTCTTTAATACGTTACAATTAACCTTCCTGTTTCTTTTATCCAACGTGACATTTTCATGCCTTGAAATAGGGAATTGTTATACAGTATATTCTCTTTGCACAGTTATCTGTAGCACTACTTTTTTGAGGCCAGTAGGAACATCCACAGAACATTCTTCCGTACTTCACTCCCTCCTTTTTCAGACTCGTTTGTAAAATATAGAATTTGAATTTAGCCTTTATTGATTGTATATGAACAACAGAAAACCTGATTTATGAAATTTTGTACTTTAAAAGAAAAAAAAAGAAAAATCAGATTTGGAAAATGATTGTATTGTAAACTAAGGCTAAATTTTTATCTGTTTTCATGTGTTATAAAGGCCAGCTTGTAAAAGAGGTTGTCACAGGTTTTCTCTGCTAACAATTTGCACTGTTAGGGTTTCGTTAGCCCTTTTGTACTACTTTTTATGTTCAGTTGAGGACGTTGCTTTTAAAATCCAAACGTATAAAACCACAGCATCTTACAGAGATAACAAAGTACATTCTGTTTATTTCTGACTTAAAGAGAAAAGCATCGAGTTCTCGCAGAACAGATACGCTAAGCAGTGAATCTAAGTAGACCTGTAAGGATGGAAAGCTATTGCTGATGTGTATAGGCTCAGATATTTTTCTCATCTCTAACTTTTAAAGTAAAATTTAGGAATACTCGTGTACAGCTTCCTCATTTCTGTTTAAATACTTGTCCTATCTCCACTGTGCCTGCTTCGATTTGTTCTCAACTAGCACTGCCTGTGCATGCAGAGAGATCCTGTGCATCCTCTTTTATTTTTTTAAATAATGTTAACACTTGTGAAAATTTTATGAAGATACTTTTGTATAAGCTGTGGCATCTTCTTTTCCTTTGTGAAGCATTGGATATCACACTTTTGGAACATGTTCAGGTTATGGGTACACAGTTTCTAGCTTCTAATACCCATGCACTGCTTCTTTCAGTGTCATTGCACAGTGCTGTTTTTCCCACTAAGAATTACTATCATGTGAATTCTCTTTTCGTTTAAGTGTGTTCCTCAGTTTCAGAAAGTATAATTCCTTGAAGAATAAAACCCAACCTTACATTTTCTACTGATGAAGCAGTGTAAAATAAATGCATTTTCAGTACAGGTCCCAAAGACAATTCTTCAGATCATTTTTTTTAAAGTGACCAAGTCTTCGTTTTAAAGTGTCAAACAAGACTAAAGTTATAGCGTACCCTCAGTGCCATTTGTGTCATGAAGCCAAGTTTATAACAGCTTACAAATTTAACTTGTCTATTTGTATCCTAAAAGGGAGAGGATTTATCGTCTCCTTAAGCTAATACAAAGAATAAAAAGAAATAAAGGATAGAGAGCTTGGTCTTAAACAGCTTTTGTTTCAGCTGCGGGCAGGGAAGCAAAAGGACACTGAGCATTAAGAGAAAACTTTCTAAATATTGTGAATTTTTATATATAAAGAGAGTGGATTGGTAATAATGACTCAACATTTTATTGAGTAGTCAGCACGTGAGCGTGCTCCATCCGTTCTGTTTGAAGCTGAAAGTCAAAGCTGGCAAACAGTTCGGGGGGTTAAAATGTACATTTTATAATTGCAATAGGAGAAATTTTGATCTTGAATCCTTGTCTGGGACCTGACCTCTTGGGGTTACTTTGGTTTTGGTTTTAGTTGTGAAAACACCAAACCTGTCCAGTTTATAATCAGTACATTGAAATGCTGGTAGTGTTGCTGTAGTAGACTTAATGCGTAGTGTTATTTTTTTTTTCTGTTTGTTTTTTGGGTTTGTTTTTTTTTTTGTAAAGTGTGAATAAAAAGGTGTTTTACTCATGTTTCCTTAATGATGTCTTGGTAATGTACATCATGACCATTTCCAGTGATGATGAGCCAGTTTAGCTTGTCAAACTAAGCAAACTGTTGTTTCTTTTTTGATTCTCTGGATTGTGTAGATGAGTCCAGAAAGCTTTACAGAAGGGGAAGGGAAGCACTTACTCATTTTGTATTTTTTTAGAGGGGGATAATTTACTTTAATAGATGCTGGAGCTTGAGTGCACTTGTTAGATTCTAAAGGTTTGAGCTTTATCCAATACGTGTTCTCCTCTATTAGGTAGTCTTAAAAAACTGTTTGAATTTATGACAGCATGTTAAAATACGGCCCCTTTGTGCTTTTGGAGACACAACTGTTCCTGCATAGTCACCTCACAGTTGAAGGGTCCACAACGTTAACTGTTTCCTCCAGCTTTTATACTAGTCCAACCGGTCCCAACCAAAAACCCACTGAACACACTGAAGACACTCCTTTGATTTCACTGGGTTTTAACTGGGCTGCAACTGTGACTCGGGGGCTGAAGGAAGGAGAAGTGTTTATAGAGTTTAGGGAAAGACCAGATGGCACCAAAACAGCTGAGAGAACCTTTGTCAAACAATCCTTCACAGAAAACAGATCCCTGTGTCAAACAAATCTAACTCAGAAGTCTCAATTTCCAGCTATAACATAGAATAAGGCAATAAACAGTGTCTTCACAAAATGAAAATGTTTCCTTCATAGTTTGTAACACAAGAATGGTTAATTGCAATATTTTTGTTTGAGGTGGTTTTGGGTGTTGCCATAATGTACCTTCAGTGTTCTTGTTGTAAAAGCACATAGAGCAAAAGTCACAGAACGTCCTTGGGGTTGAAAGGATTTATTTAGGTTAGACCAGGCTTTTTGTCCACTTACAGTACAGTCAGCCATATCTTGTCTGCTTTTATTTACCTTTACCAAGAGTTCTTGGGTGTCAAAGTGTAAATTGAAATATACCTTTAACTAAAAGAACGGATTAGAGTACAAGACTAATACCACGAGTTACCGCTTTTATAACACAAGGGGGGGGGGGGGAAGAGCATATAAGTCAGTGCGTGTTGTAATTATTTTGTCCTTTTAGCAGCTTTAAAAAGTCCGATTTGGTTAGTATTTGACAAAACTGGGTGTAAGAACATTCTGTGTCAGCGTTTTGGATGCAACTTCAGCTAATCTCAAAGGGTTTTTTGCAACAGAATCAGAAGATAGTTTATGGTTTGCTTTTGCGACCACACAAAAGCTTTAAGAAAGGCAAAATAATTACACCACCACTGGGGAGAAAGAAAAAACCAAACTAATTACACTGTAAAACTTAAAAGATTGAGTTAACTGCTTAAGTAGCAAGCCTTTCTCATCCAGCCAGACACAGTATTTTTTAGTATGTTAACTGCTATTCTTTTCCTTTGGTTGCATAAACTTGTAACACTTTAAGTGTCTTGGTATGTTTAAGTAGTGTCTAAAATAGAGTATCTTAGTCTTTATTCACAGTACTTCTGTATAATGTGTAATGCACTGGACTAACTCTTGTTTACCATTCATGTAACAAAAACCAGCACATTATCTGCACTAAGCTCAAAGAATGTTGCATTTGTCTATAGGCAGCTCTTCAATAAGATAAATGGGAAACTGAATATGGTCTGATGGTAAACAAGGGCTTTTACTGTTCTCTTCAGTGGAACTTTCTTCTTGGTCAAATTTTAACTAGTTAGTATTATATTTATATACAGGGTCTTTTTTTTCTTTACCAATGTATTTTCCTACTCATAGCTGACCAATAAATCCAATATCTGTTTCAAAGCTTCTTGAAGTCTAATTCATATTTTAATTCCTAAAGCTTTTCCTGAAGACTTGCAAGTACAGCAAAGTGAGGGAAGTGGGTAAAATGTAGGAAACTTGATAATCCCTGAAAGACCTTCCCATACTTTGTTATTTTATGGATCTGCAGATCAGAAAGCTGCTTGAATCATTTGGGTTTGGATTGTGAAGACCCAACTAGTAATGCCTCCAAACCCGCGTCCAAACCTACTCCAGTCTCTGCTCCGTATCTTCATCTCTGGCCATCCTCTGATCTTCCCAAGTCAATTAGTAAGGTCAGTTGTGCAGTTTAGGATCCACAAGTTTTGTCTGGATCCTGTAGACCCTGCTCCTTCCTTCCTCTTCCCTTGCCACACCAGAAAGCGTAAAGTACATTTGGTCTGGCAGCAGGAAGGATTCAAATATGCCATTAATTTGTCATTGGAAGCAAAGTAGAGATTTCTTGCATTTAATTTTCCCTCAGGAATGCGATTCAGCCAACTCTTGTTCTATTGGGAGAGATGTCATCTTTATCAGGGCATATGTGTAACAGTGGAGGCTCATGTTTTACATGATGGGCCTATCGCTAACAGCAGAAAACATCTGAGCACACTTGCTGTTTAAAGCCCTGAAGCAGGCAAGACTCCTGATTGGCATCCCTGTGTCTTTTCAGAACTCATGTGCAGTATGTTGGCACTGCTTTGCTTTGAAATAAATGGTCTAGCTAGGTGTTTCCATGAATACCACATGCCCCAGAGTGTTCAGCTTGTTTGTAGTTTTAAATCCGCTGTCTGGAAGCAGCTCTAACTCCCCAACAGGGTGATGAGTCCATCCCAGGCTTCAGCAATGAGTGTTTTGTTTCTGTCTCATGGCTGAGGGTTTAATTTCCATCATCGCATCTGCAGCCTGGCCACTAGATGGTGTGGGTAACACAGGCATCGTGCGCAGAGTGCGGCTGGATTCGAGTACCATCCCGAAAGTGTGGCTTGTAGAATTCTCATTAGGAGTATTTGTGGGAACTCTGGCCCAGGAATGAGCCTTTTCTGGTGGCAGCAGTGGGTTTGGTAACATCCATGCCAATTAAATACTGGCTTTATAGATCCAAATAGGAATAGAAAAGGACCTGCTTGGTCCTCAGTGGTAAAATCAATCTAGGGCCTTTGCTTACTGCATTTAATCTGTTTAGTGCTGTGTTTTGAATACAATTGTTATGTGGTTCCGCATTGGAGTTTATGAGCTCTTAAATAGTATCTGCTAACCTGGCATGTAAGTACTGGGAGATCTATCTGTAGGGAAACTGGGCCAAAATTAATGGAGAACCTGGTGTCCTGTCCAGAGAGTGTGTATGGAAAACAGCATCTCGCACTCGAAGGATGGAGTGTCCTGTGGTCGTAAACCAGGTAGGACAAAATTCAGCTTTCCTTAGCTTGCAGTACAATAACTACAGCTATTTCAATACAATTGCATATACAAATCACTGAGGCCAGACTCTGAGTTACTGGACCTTCATATTTGCTGGCTCTTAGATGGTAGCACAAAGCTGGGTTTGTGCATTATAGGGTGGAGATTTCCCAAATCAGTGCAGGTGACTGCATTCCTTTTCTAGTGACATGGGTAGAGCAGAGGAGCCTTAAAACATCCGGAGTTGAGC